TCTCATGAGTCAACCCTCTAATTTATGAACAAGTGTACACACACACACACACACGCACACACACATATATATATACACACACACACACTTACATATATAAAGCCAAAATTCTTTCTTCTTGTAACTCATACCAGTCATTGATGGCCCTTTTCCTCAGGAGCAGCACAGAATCCAGTTAGTTTCTCCTCTACCTGACAGCTCTATAACTCCAAAAATCATGTATCACATCGCCCTGGAGTACTTTCTTTTCAAGGCCGAACATTCTGATTTATTTCTGTTCATGTGTGCACCCCTTGATTTCTAAAATAAGGCAAGTGGAACTCACACAGTGTCTTCTTGAAATGTGATAATGCAGAATAAAAGGTAATCATTGTCTGTAGTACATTCCTGGTCATGTAATTTTACCACACGTATGCAAAATATTACAAAGAGGTAATGTCCAGTTTTATCTTAATAATTATAAATTTTCTTGACACATTTATTCTTCCTTATATTTACTAGCATCATTTGATTTCCTTAACCTTGTTATGGCCATAATCAGTCCTTGTCTTAATGCTTTCTGGCAATTCATTCATTCTGGCAAAAAGTATTAAAGCAGTGACTACTTGGTGTAGGTAAACACTCTTTTATTTTGCCCTTGAAGAAGGAAGATACTCTATCTTTTTATCATCAGTACCACTGAGATGTCTGATTTCTGCAAAATTTTATTCTGAATTAATATTAAATGAATTTTCAAGCCATAAAACATTATACATAAATGTATACTATTATAAAGTATTAGCTGAAAATATAAAGTGTGGCCCATGCTTTAATTTTAATATGGGGCTTTAAAACACCAATGCATCTTTAAAGATCTTGAAGAATAAATATCAGTCAGAGTGTGGGAAGAGGTTTTATGTAAGATGCAGGCTTAAAGATTATTATGTCTGAATGAAAGGGAATAGTTGGACTCAAGAGCAAAATTTTGAGAAAGTGTCAGTTATGTGGGAGACCTTTCTTAGATTTCCCTGAACAGAATCCAGGACAGGATCACACAGCATGAAATACCAGAACACTAAATAAAAATGTATTAAAAAGTAACTAATGCAATTTCATTCTCCCTTATCTGTTTTTATATGAATTTTATAAGTACATGTAAAAATACATAAAATAAAAGTTTATAAGGAACATATTTTTAACAATACACATAAATTAATAGATATTGACAAAAATATTCCGGAGATTGATGATGATGATTAAACAGCAATGTAAATGTACTTAATGCCACTGAATTATGCACTTAAAATGGTAAAATTTATACTGTGTATATCTTACCACAGTAGAAAACGGTTAATGTTTATAGATTAACAAAAAGATACTGAGATAAAATTATATCATAATGCTTACTCAAATAGGGCTCAGATCATTTAGAAAAATACAACATATCATCGCCACATATGCACAACATAGCAATAACTAGTTATCTAAAGTCAGAGTACTTATTTAGAATTATTTAGAAAATAACTTGAATTGCAATTAAAATAATTTTAAACATAAATTAAGACACAGGAATCAATCATTTGTAGTAATGTTTGTTTTTCTAAATAGAATGACTTTATTATCAATGTTACAGAAATGTTTTGCATCCTGTTTCCAAGCACTGAATTAAATATTCCAGTATTTCTCACATTTAATGTTTTACAAATTTTAAATGTTTTTAATGTTTTCTAAACATTAAGCATAGTAATTTAAATGACATAATATGTTAATAGAATTAAACATTTTAATGTTTTCAAACATTAAGTATAATAAGCATAAATGTTGTTTAATGTTTTGTAGATTTATCTTCATCTGGGATTTTTAAAAATATCATTTAATGATCATTTGAAGTATATACATTAATGTATCTGGATTTTTTAATTCAGAGTAAATTATTTCATAGTAAACAAAACAATTGTCAAATAAGCCATTGTTTTATTATTTCTTGTTTTTTTCATTGAATACATCTGTTTATATTTATTAGTAAACTTGCTATATCCACTTGGGTATAAGTGCTAGAAATGTTTATCAAATAGCAATAACAAAACAAATCTTTTTATTTTCTTATTTCAAATTAATAGTAAATAGATATATGTATTTAGCTCTTCATAAATATTTAGGCATCAGAAGTTTTGATGAGGCTCTCCCTTTAAGAATTTTTTTTAATTGTTTTCTACACCCAAATGTGGAAAATTTTAGATAACATTAGTTTTTCATGCATTTTACTTAATAACAATAAATGGAATCATAAAGAGAAGCTATATGGCTGGAACAAATGGAGGCTATTTCTGAGAAATTGCAATTATCCTTGATTTTTGATTTACTCTTCTATACCACAAGGTGATAAATTTGACGAAAAGTCCTCTTAATGGTCTCTGTGCATGAAGAACTAGTTTTCGTTCTATTAATGAAGTGCCTTGTCATCCACTCTTTTCCTGTCTAGTGGTCTGAGGCACTGTTAGTATCAAGACTTCTGTCTCCAGTGAAAATCAATGCTTCAAAAATCTATTTCATACTTTATGCCAGAATTGTTTCACCTTCAGTTCTAAATAATAAGCATTATAAAAAACATAAATGCAAAATGTTTAAAGCCATATTGTGTATACACATACTCTATGGTAAAATAACACTTTTTACTGGTATTAGAATTCATCTAAAGTTGATATGGATCAAGCAAAGTCGAGGGGAACACACGTGTTTTGACTCATAAAATTATTGTCTCTCTGGAGCTAATCTGACTGTAGTAATTATATTCTTAACCCATGCTTGATGATTAAATTCATCTTTGTATGATTTATCTTGCTTTTTAAAGAGAGATACTGGTTTCAACTGCAGTTATTTTACCAACATGAAATCCTTCATCTTTCCTCGGCTGCTCTTAACCTAAGTACATAAACTCACTTACTCTACAGAGTTCATCGCTGCAACCCAATAAGTGCACTCTAATGCTGACCCTCCTCCCAATCTCTATGCACTCTCTTTTCTCTTTCTTTCTTCCCTTCTGTCTTTGAGAAGTGCTCTTCAGAGGCTGGTGGCATCTAAAAGACATGTACTGTCCATACTTCCATTTCTGGTCAGGTTATGGTACATTTGGAAAAGATATGTATACATATTCAATATATATATATATACATATATATTAATTTTTATAAATATACATATATAAAATATTTTAATATATACACATATATTAAATTGTTTAATATACATGGTAAATTTGAAAAGATGTGTATATATATTCAAGATATATATATATATATATATATTTTAAGAATCCATAATAACATCATCTAATAAAAGGAGATATTTTAGATAATTTCCTTTCAATATTTTTCTATATATTCTGCCTACTGTCCAAACTTTCTTAAGTCCTCTGGAACTTTGTATCATCATTGAAAAACTTTTCCAACTTGTTTCCTCTCCAATTTTTCCCTTTTTTCTTCAAATATGTAAGGTTTTTTTTGCCACAGTTAACAACCACCATCACAAAATGTTCTTAATGATGATAATTGTCCAACGTCTTCTTATCTTTACTGCAGTACTTCTTGAAAAAATAACTTGTTATTGTAGGTGTGATTTCCCCATCACACACTCACTCTTAACATTTGACAGGCTGGCTTCTAGTCTCCAACACACAATGCAAACCAAGGAGCTTCATTTTGTCTTACACCATTCTGTATTCTCTCATTCTGGAAGCAACTATGCTCCCCTTAAAGCCCTGCCCTTACTATACTTGACTCTTTTTTAGGTTTATATAAGGAAGCAACGCCTGCCTTTCTGTTTTAACTCTTTGATGACCTCTGTTCCCCTATTGGCTTGATGAGGAGGCCAGGAAGTTAGGCGAGAAAGGTAGGTTCAGTTGAAAGAACGTCTTACAGATTCAGCACTTTCACTTCAGTTGAGAAACATCAGTAGACTATATATTTCTAGTCAACATTAATATGTGGTTAATTATTAATTAACCTATATCTAATTGGTGTACCAGATCTTGGCATACACTTCTTAGGAAGCATAAATTTTGAAACATTTAGACCATTTGCATAAATGATATCTAAAATAAGTAACTTTCCAAGTGATGCTGCTCTTGAAGATCAATTTATGAAATCTAAAAGTAACTTATTATTAGTCCAGTATGTTGACAATTTTTACATTATTTTAAGGTAACATTATAAATAGTATTAAATTCAACTTGCAGTACATTACAATGTACTATATAAAAGCTGATACAATAACCACATTGTGAAATTTCTGCTTCACCTCTGACATAGAATGACGCCTTGGATCTCTGGTAAAAGTGGCCAAATCCCTTTAGCAAAGCATTCAATATTCAAAAACAGATTGAAACAGGGGGACCTCATTTTATTTAAAAGGGAATACAAAAAACTCCGATGTGCATATCCTGCTGTCATTTCTATGCTATCCTTATTTTATTTGGCTTTGAAAACTTCGATTTAATTTTTATTAATTTAGAAATAGAACTATCTTTAAAGACATGCCAACGGAATCAATGATTTTGTTTTTTTAAGTTTATCAAGTCTCTCCTTTCCCCTGCTACAAGCATAGGTCTGTATTAATTTAAACAAAACCTCCATTATCCTTACAGAAATAGCAATAAGAGCTCCAGCATATTTTCATAAGAATAAAAACTGAATATAATTCAACCCAACCAAGAAACCTGAAATTGAAAGCTATTTTAGCTAGAAGAATCAACTAAGAGACTTTTGAAAATTTAAAATAATACACAGAATTTCTAACTAACAAATTTGGACTTTGTAAATATATGTGAAAATGGTTATATTCACACAAAGTTTAATGAAAAGGAAATAGTTCAGTAGCAGGGTAAGATTCAATCTTCTTTGCTTAATGTGTGGCGTACTGAATCTTTATTGCTGTTAGAATAGGCAATTTCCCCTGCCAAGATTTAATTAAAGTTTAAATATTTGAAGGGGTGATGATAATGTTGTCTCTAATAAAAAATTTACCTGTCTTGGGATCAATAGAGAAATAAGGCTGTCCCTGTAGAATGCTGTAAACGACTCTGGCACTGTTTCCATAGGTTGGGTCATCTGCATCTGTGGCTTTGACCTGGAGCACATATGCACCTAAAAAATAAAAGAATATAACTTTAGCATTTTTATTTTACAGAGTTCAAGGTCATGTCTATTATCTGCTGGACTATATTTTCCTTTGGAATTTGGCATTTCTCAGAAATGTCCTGAGTATATGAGGTCATGAAGATAATTTAACCATTATAACCAAAATGTTCGGCAACAATATAGCTGTAGTGCAAATGACAAATTTTAAATATCTATTTTAAAAGCTATGTTCATTTCCAGGAGCTAGATCATTGAACTGAAAGTCATTAAGACAGCTTTATTGATTTGCACACTAAAGAAAACATGGACACCACTTAACATTAGCTCATCTGCCTACTATTGATGCTTTAATTTCATGATTAGGGCTTCAATAGGGAAGTGCAAAGATTTAGAGGCTCGCTGAACTTCAGAGGGTGTTACTAATTTGCAATTGCAACTTAAAATCAACGTCTGTGTATTAGTGCTAGGAAGACATTAATTAGAAAAGAATATTTGAGAAATTGAGGAAGCATAAATAATTGCAAATGTGGCTACAGGAGCAACTCTTTGCCTCAAGATAGAATTAATCTCAAAATTCACTGACATAGGCAAGCACTACAGATAATACAAATTATCTGCACCCTTTCTCTCTCTCTCTCTCTCTCTCTCTCTCTCTCTCTCTCTCTCTGACACTTAGGGATATTTTTTACGTACTAAGAGAAGTTGAAGAAAGTTTTCTTTTTCCTGAATTTCTCTCTTATCTACTCATAATCATATTTAAGTCAGTTTCTAGGAACTTTTTAAGTGTCTGTTCCTCACATCTGTTCCATGTTACTATTCTGAGTTCAGAACACAGTAAAATCAAAAGTATCAAAACTTGTAACAAATAAAATCGGCATGTGGTTGAGGTTTAGAAGGAAATCTCTACTGAGCTGCTTTGGGTTTAATGTCCCCCCACAGCTTAATCCCCACTGTAACTGTTGAGGGTGAGAAATCACAGTATGGTAATTGAAAGGTCGGGCCTTGAAGAGGTGATTGATTGTAGGACCATGCAGTAGTGAATGCATTAATAATGGTGGTCATGGGCATGGTTCTGAGGCCTTAAAAGGAGAGTTCGTGAGAGGTTAGTCCCTCTCTGCTCTGCCATTTTCTGCCACGTGAGACCAAAAAAAGACTCACCAGATGTGTGTTCCCTGGATTTTGAATTTCCTAGCCTTTGAAACTGTAAACAAATAAATTTAGTTTTCTTTATAAGTTACCCAGTTCCAGGTATTTTGTTGTAAGCAACAAAAATGGTCTAATACATAAGCATAATGGGACCAATATATAATTGTACACCCAAAGTTACACAATGAGCAGAACTCTCTTAATCTCTTGGGGGCATTCAAAGTAATTGCTCTGTTTGGGGAAAGCAAGCTTGTCCCTTTCCATTCAGTTATTCATTCAGCCTTTTCTCTTAAAGCAGTACACATGTGGAACAAACCAGGTCTCAACAGTTTACTATTAAAGCTAAAAGAATGAATCATTTGTTTACGTCTGTTTTTTTTTTTTTTTGTTTTTTTTTAATTAAGTGTTAGGGTGGTTAACGAGAGTGAGAAATGATAACTTTCTGTAGACATTCAATGCCAAGTGCTTTTGTTGAAGATCCTTTGGTGAATTCTAGCTATATTAACAGATGAAAACTAAGTTGCAGCAGTCTTTCCCATGACAGGAAAATTCTAAAACAAAAGCATGTGAGTATTACAAGGAAGTCCAAACTGGTAACATATTATCTGTCATCGTTACCGACATTATCATCAATATTTACACTATCGTTAATCATAATGACAAATCTTTACTTATGTAATGAATTAGGTACCTGTATTAAGGTTTCATCAAAACTAACTTTCCTTAATGCTGTACAAATAAGAAGGTTATCAAGAGTTAATTTCCCTTTCCCAAAAGTAGCTTTTTCCCCAAGAGTCCTCACCTGGATCTTTGCTATCCCTACCAGACATATTATATACACAAACTCTACAAATATTAAATACTGCCCCAATTCTAAATATAAATATTGCAGTTAAAAAGCTATGAATTGTTCTATTCTTTGCATACACTTGAAAAAAAAACAGTATTATATTTATTAACAAATAGGAAATAAAAACATTTGTAAAAAAAATATTTAGTCACAAATTTAATAAATTTTTGTATCCTTTGACCACCATCTCTCCAACCTGCTTCTCCACTTCCCCCACTGCCCCTCGTGACCACCATCCACTCTCTGCTTCTATGAGTTTTTTTGAGAAAAGCTTATTTCACACAGAGACAGCTGTAGGTATGAAAAGGTCCTGAGGAAAGGGAGGTGATGGAGAAAATGCTCATGAGAACAATTCTAGAATTTAGCTATCCCTCCAGCACTGACTTATCTTTATCTCATTATTACTACCTGTCTACTTACCCACTAACCTATATTTCAATTTTTATTTACATGAAGCAGATGGAACTAGTCATACAGTCTATTTTTTCTTCCCAGTACAAAACAAAACTTTAATACATTTGCACACAATTTCTAATTATTGTAGGATGCAAATGCATTAAATCAAAATTACATGAAAGCCTTACTAAAGGAACATATATTGAGCAAAAATGCGACAAAGTATGTAGTACTTTTTAAAAATTTTATAATTTATAATGATGATTTGATTTACATAATATTTTCATCTCTGATTAAATTCTGTTGTTTTCCAGTGTCATTTATTGAATCTTACTTTACTCATTAAATGATATGTTGAATAGACATATTATCAAGGCACGTGAAAATCTACTTCACCATTTTTAACCAATCTCCTTTTAGTTAACACTTTGATTCAAGGATTTTCTTTATTTTCTCTATTACAAAAAATTCTGCAATTGGTAAACTCTTACAATTGAAATAGATGAGTCAGAAAACATGAATTTAACATGTTGATAGATATTGTTAAGTTGACTACCAAAAGATTGCTCTAATTTACATTTCTATCAATGGGGTATGTTTTCCAGCATTTTCACCATTCTTTATTGTTCTCATCTGTATTTTTCATACTATGTGTGAACTCAGCACCTTATGTGTTTTGGTCATTTGTACCTTTTGTGTGTGTGTATGACTACGCACACTGTACTTATATTCTTAACCCATTTTTCTTTTATGTATTGTACATATTTATTGAAAGAGTATTTACTAGTTTATTTTGATTTAGTTTGAATTTTATGTGGTCACTTTAAATTGTTTTGCTTTGTGTGTATGTTTATATAGGTGTGTATGTATGGTATACATATCTTTTTAAAAAATTTTATCAGTATACAATGTGGTTCATTTTTGTGTCTCCTTACCCAATCCTCCCTCGTATACATATCTTAAAATTATTATTCTTTAGCTGTGTTTGGTGAGATTAGGTGGTTTTTACTCTCTCTTCTTCCTAAATTCTATACAATGAGTAACTATGTTCTGGATCCTATAACAAGCAAACTAGCTTGCTCTCATAATGAAACCACACAGGGCTTGCTTCTGCTTGCACATGAGACATGTGATAATCATGCTTCATCTATTTGATTTAATTAAGATTAATATTATCAAGGCTTAGAATGGATTTTAAAAATCATCTGGTGCAACATTTAAATTTTACAACCCCAAAACTGAAGGCCATTGCTATGTTTTGGAATGTGTCCCCCCAAAAGCATGTGTGGGAAACTTAATTCCCAATACAAGCGTTGGAAGGTGAGACCTTTGAAGAGGTGACTAAGTCAAGAGGGCACTGCCCTAATGAACAGATTAACACAGTTATTGTGGGAGTGGGTTAGTTATCGCAGGAGTGGGTTCCTGATGAAAAGGATGAGTTAGGTGCCCTTCCTTTCTTGCTCTCTCACCATGACATAACACAGCCAAAAGTTCCTCAACAAATGCCAGCACCTTCATATTGGACTTCCCAGCCTCCAGAATTGTGAGAAATAAGTTTCTTTATATACACACACAGACACATATATATACAGATACGCATACACATATAAATATACATATATATGCACAAACATGCATATATATCCCAGTCGCGGGTGTTCTAACAACGCAAAATAGACGAAGACAGTAGTGTTAAAATCATTCTCATTGATACTATAAATGACATTTTCACTCAAAATGGTAGTAAGGTAGAAGTAGAACTGAACTCTACTAACTCACAATTTCACATAGTCATTAACTTGTTGAATCCTTCATATCTTCTTTTAATCAATAAATATTTAGGAGTGTCCACCATGCATCAGGTACTATTCTTAATGTACAATAAAAAACACATATGCTATATAATTACTTATTCTATCAAATTCCACTTGTAGCATGGCAGTTTTATATTTTATGTATTATTTGAATTAATGGCATTAAATAGCTTTGATAGAAAAAAACAAATAATATAAGTAGATTATATTTAATGTCAGGCTTCTGTAGAACATTTTTAATTAAATTTTCCAGAATATCTTCCTATTCATTGAATACGTTCTTGCTTTTTATCATCCTGAACCGACAGGTTTGAGTCTTCACCTCCTCACAATTGCCAAGCTAAAATGGCATCTCAACTGCTCTCTCCTCCAGCTTTTTGTTTGTTTGGTTGGTTGGTTTTTGTTTTACACAGAAGCATAAAAGTCATTGATTCAACACACAAGGTTGATCATATTATTCCTTGATTGAAAAAGGTTACAATTTTTAAAAAATAAAACAAAACAAATAAATCTCTAAGGTTTTTTTTATTTCTATTTACAGAAAATCATCTTAACTCATCACTGTGTTATGCATAGTGTGATGTGCATGGGTTTCAAATGTTCCTTCCAGACCAGATACTAACTGTGCCTCCAGAGCCCCCATGCCATGACTGCTCATACTTATCTACTGTTTATGATGTGGCTCTTTCATGCCTTTGTGCTCTTGCCCCTTTATCCTGCCACCAGGAGGCTATTTGCCCATTGATGTCCCAGCTGCGTCTCACTTCTATGAACCCTTACTTTTCTCTTCCCAAGCAGA